TCCTGCTGTGACTATATTTCAGAAGACTTAGCTCTCTCGTATCTCCAAACAAAGATTCTATAACATAGGTCTCCCATTCAAAAGAAAACTACTGATTTCTTAGTAGTTCTGGTGATGTGCAGTACAGAAAACATGAATCTTAACTTTAGATATACTTACATATTCGAATTATAATCCACTGATTCAAGCAATATGAGAAGGAGCTATTAAATTAAAGAAAGACTACTGTGGAATACAAATGCTAATATTACAAGAAATTACAAATACATCTATACAATACCACTACATTAACATAATTCTATAACATTTATTAATTTATGTTACAAGTGTCTGATGCCCCAATCAAGAATCTACGTGCTATGTAAGCAAAAAAATTTTTAAAAAAGAGACTGTCCTTTCATTAGAGACCTCTTAAAATAGTTTTGCTTTGAAAGCCTTTTCTTCCAGGAAAAGTGCCAAGTTAAAAGAACAGAAATTTTTATTCAGCACCTTACTCAATGGGCATAACTTTTTGCTATATGGCACATTCATGCATATGAGAGAACGTCTCTACATACAATGCATTGTCTTTACTGCTTCTCTGAAAAGAACATGGAAAGCCTGGCTATAGAAAAAAAAGCAATACTGTATGCAATCAGGCATATTTGGACTGTAATCATTTAATCTGGCTTCCAACAGTTGCCATGAACCATAGTCATATTTTCCAGTGTGAAAACATTTTTTATAAAAAGCATTATGTGGTTATCCTTTAACTAAAAATACAGTTCCAGTTGTGTGCACTAGGTGTTAAAAGGGAACTGTATAAAAACAGTTAAGACATAAAAGCACTATAAAAATAAAATACAAAAACGATCAAAGTTGAACTATACTAAATTGAATGATCAACCAAATTTAGTGAAATGTGTCCACCTACACCAATTTCTTTTTTCCTGAAGATAAATATACTGTATTGCATATATTTCTACTTTTGAATGACTGTTAACGGTTCAAGCTTCCTTCTATCAATTCATGTGCATAGGAAAGGTAGACATTTTAAAGTTCTTTAGCCATCTTTGTGATTCTTTTCATCACCAAACTGCCTCAATATAAAATGTTCTAAGATTGTTTGAATGTATGTGTAGCCCTCCTAGGTTACTAGGTTAATGAAGAGAGCATAATTGCTTGCAGATTTAATTTTACAGTTACACTCTACATGTTTGTCCATGTTATAAAACTTTCGTTTGTTTTTTAACATGTTAAGAAAGAAACATTATATATGACTACATCATAGTCTCCTAGAGGTTTTGTGGAGTGACAATCCAGAAAAGTTTCACACGGTGCATCATGTATAACCATTACCAGTTTACCCAAAAGGTGTCTGTACCATTTTGGGAACTTAGTATAGAAAGTAGTCATTCATACTTCTATTTTAATCCAAAAGTACCTACAATTTTTTACAAGGTATACCAAACTTTTAGTTAAAATGTTAAATATATGCCCTGTGGTTTTCAGCAGATGTGAGACCTGATATCAATGAAAAAGCTATCTTTGATATGAATAAAAATAATGTGATTTAAATATTATAATTTGGTTAATATAAAGGCCACAACTTTATAAACAACTAAAACCTAGCTGTGACAACAACTACCTAATAAGTTTGATCCATAGCATCCATAGCCAGCTTTTGTGGTCCTGATACATTTTAAACATGAATATGAGTGGCAAAGCTAGGCCCTACAACACCTCAGACTTCCAAAGGACCTTGACTGAATGCCAGTCTCAAGTTAGTTCCCTTTTCCATGCTGGTAATACAGGAGCGGGCAAAATATGGCCCACGGTCTGCATCCGGCCCACCAATCAATTCCACCTGGCCTGCGGGTGCCCAATTAATTGTACCTCATCCAGCCCAAATGCTTCGCTCCCACCCTGGGGCGCAGAAGGGCCCAGCCCAGCCAGCGCACCCAGCTTCCGGGCAGAGCTGCTCCTGCCACTGCTGCAGCTGCTGGGGGAGCTGCTCAGCTTCATCGGCTCCAGCAGCTCCTCCTTGTCTCCCTGCTGCAGCGCTCACTCTGGGCATCAGGTAGGGAAGCGGCAGGGGCAGGGGGAAGCTGCAGCGGGGGCAGATGGAGGAGTTGCAGCTGGGTGCATGGGGGAGCATGGGGTTGGGGATGGCGGAAGCACAGAGCCCGCTCCCAGTGGGGTGGCAGGAGTGTGGTGCTTGGGTGGGCAGGGTGCAGGTGTAGGGGAGGGTAGGGGGGTGTGGGGAGGCCCCCCACACACACATTGCCCCCTATGACGCACAGCCCCCACTGCTGTCAGGGGCCCTCAGGGTACTAATGGCATGGCTGCCTGACAGTACACGGCTCCTACTAGCACACGGCTCCTTGTACATGGTGACAAGGAGTGCAGCCAGGTCAGCCTGCCCCTATTGAATTCGGCTCCCCACAGCACACATGCAGCTCCCAGCATTCACACACCACTGGCCGGGGGGGGACCCACATGATGGAGCTGGCTGCCTTTCCTACCATGTGCAGCTGCCAGGACTCTGCCAGAAGTGACAGGGAGCCTCACCCTCTACTTCCATGGCAGCAGCCAGCTCCATTGTGTGGAGCTTCCCTGGTGGTGTACACATGCTGGCGGCTGCATGTGTGCTGCGGGGAGCCCTGCACGATAAAGGAGGGCCAGACAGACTGGGCTCATTGCCACCATGTGCAGCTCTAGCCAGAGCCATGCACAACCAGGCAGCAGTTCCCCAAGTGCCCCCTGCCACTGCTACTGCTGGCAGTGGGGGCTGTGCGCCATGGGGAGGGGGAGTGTGTGGGGACTCCCCACAGCCCCCAATCCTCCCTGACACCCGACAAAGCCCACACCCTGCCCCCACAACCCCCTACATATATACACACTCTGCAACATATCCTACGACCCCGCCACACATACAGCCACATGCCCTCACAAACCACACCCCATTATACACACACCCCACCCTCAAGCACACCCCACACACAAAATACAAGAGTAAGATCTATTATTTACTTATTACGCAGTCGTCTCTATATACACTACAAAAACACAAGTCATGACAATTTTTAATAAAATTAAAATATATTATAGTAGATGTTTAACTTCTAGTATATGATTTGTTGGTTTTTTTCTTGTTCAGATAGCAATTCCCCCCCCCCCCCGGGGAGTTCCGGGGGGGG